CGAGTTTATAGAAATGAACGCATGTTTTTTTCTCAGTTTCGGTAATCTGGCTAAAACTTTGGATATGCGGGTTTATTTGAGAATCGCTTCACACGGTTGAGCTAGCAGTGAGCCCGTTGTTCGCCCTGTGTCAAAAGATATTCGCCCAAACGACCCAGCTGCGTCAAATTTCAGAACCCCTCAGTCCAATTTTGGTATTATTCGAGGTGTTATTTTACAAACTTCTGTGTAATAAATCGCTTTTAATTACAAGGCTCTCATTCTAGGTATAACAGAACCGCCAGCTAAGTTCCTAATTGCGCTATAAATTTGTCACTCCTGGAGTACAATAATTGTCCAAAAATTGGTCTTTAATAATTGGACTTGGCATTAGTTTAAGTATACTATACTTTTGGTCACCTGAAATTTGGCGTCGAAAATCTTATGGAATTAGCGGAATAATGTTTAGTGGGTTTTGATTTTCGACGTTTTCCGACAAGATCGCAGGACTTTTGTCTGCGGGACTGGACGTTTAAATTAAATAACGTTTCTGGGGGATTTTAAATTGATTAATTTTATCAAAGTTTCGCCGGATTAAGCCAATAAAACTTGATAGGGTATATCCGCAAATTGCAAAATAATGCATTTTCCAATAAAATTTATCTTTTTGTACTCTGAGAAGTTGTTTTTCTTATCACTTTACCAATTATTACAACCCAGTATGGGTTCCGGTGCTGTAATCCGGCTCTTGTAGTTTGGGTACCACTGTTTGGTGATAGCTCGGGCAACCGGATCAACATTGAGGCACCGGGTTTGGGCTAAAAGCTAGATTGGGCTAAAAATCCACCTTCGGGCAAATAAGAGTCCAGCTGGTACCTCCTGTCAAGAGTCCAACAGTTAGCTAATGTTTAGTACACCGGGCTAGGAAATAATCAACTCACCTTGATCACGCGCTGAATAAATAAAATAAACAACACAACAACAACACCAACTGAGATCCTAAACCCGTCAATCGTACCCTGATTAAATAGCCAAGCTTATAAATGCCCAAAAGCTAATTGAGTAATTGTTTTAAAACCTAGTTATCAAAACAAAGATTAACTGTTTCAAACTACAAAAGGTTAAATGGTATTTGTTTTTTCGACAGTCTAAGCCAGGACGTTTATTGTGATATTTTACACGTCAGAAACATACCTTATATGACACTTACTTTTCAAACAATACAGTCCACGATTTTTAAAAGTCTCATGATGGTAGAAAGGAAATGTATTTCTATGGTTTAGTTATTTGATAATCTTAGCAATATCGGCTAAGAGATACCACATTGTTCATCAAAATTAAAAATGCGGTTTTTCATCGGGTAAAATTGGGTTAACCAACGTTTTTACTTTTGAACTATGGTCTTTATTTTTCTTCACGTTCAAAAATATTCCAAAAATCATAGAAAAGAGATATAAAAATCATTCTAAAAATGATTAAGTGCATCAAAAGAACGCGATAATTCGGGACATATTTTTGATCTATTGAATGCGATTACTAGTATTGTGAATGGGTAGGGCATATGTTAATTAAGGCATTTTACAGTTTGTTCACACTTCAAAAAGTCAAAGTGTTGGGCATTATAGGTGGATAAACAATAATTTGTATACGCTTATCTAGTACATAAGGTTTTCATGTTAATCAAAAACATGCATGCATATTTTTTGGCTTAGCGCCATTTAACTAAAATAACGATGACTTTCCTTAAACTACTTCAGTGCAAAAAAAATTACATGTTACAAACTTGAATTGAAGCTGAACTATATATTGGGAATTTGCTGTTAAACAGACAGAGATGTTGTCTTTTTGGCATTAGAGAAACGGTTAGAAATATCTATCGATCCAAGTAATTTTTAGACATTGACACTTTTTTCTAATAATGGCAATTTTTTGGAATTTTTTTCTGGAACTCTGCGTAAAACAGTATAACAGCAAAACTTACTTTTGAAAAATCGCCAAAAAAACTTTGTCTGATTTTTCCCTAATATTTTTTAAAATGTAAATCTTATCAGATCTTTGCAAAAAAAATTAAACCTTGCCAGAGTCTTGCAACATGATTTTGGAGGAATTAAATTACTCGGCAATTACCAAGGTTCAATTTTTTTCTTTTTTATGATATCCAAAACAAAATTGGTTTTTCAGGAACTTTTCTGATAGAGTTTCTTTTTTGCATTGCCCTTTTAGAGAATGCAAACTTTGCGAATTCTTGCAAGATTTGCGTTCTTTTGATTGCGTATATTTTTTGCTAATATGATATACGATGTGATATATATATATATATATATATATATATATATATATATATATATATATATATATATATATATAAGAAAAAAAATAACGCAACTAGTTAACTGAAAACACAATTTAGAAAAAGCAAAAACGTTTTTACGATTCTTTAGGGTAGTAGCTATTTACTTGGTTTCGATTAAGGCAATTGCTCATCGGAAGTAAAAACTTTTTCTGGTACAAAAAGGTGAGATGAAACTCGAAACATTATTTTTATTTCTGAAAAAAATACCTTTTCAACAATTTGATTTTGACTTGTAAGTTTCATTTTTTAAATTTTTTTTTGTAATACTGTGCGCAAAAACTTAATTTAGACTAACAAAATAAAAAAATCCAAATGATAGTTTTACGATTTTGTGTTTTCATAGAGGGTATTCAAAAACATTCGATCTCGGTCATAGTAGGAAAATTTGCTGATTTTCAAAGTAAAAGTTAGCCAAAACCATGCTTGAAAATGGGCATTACAGGGAAAAAAGAATTTGCTCACAGTTTTTTTCCACTATTGTGTAATATATTCTATTTGAGTAATATATTCAATTCAACAACTGAGAAAAACAAAACAAAATGAAAATTGAAAAAACAGAACGAAAATCCTGCAAGAATCTAACAAAGTGGGTGCAATTATGGTAAGAATTTTACAAAACAATAAGATGATCGGGTTTACTTGCAAAATTTTTTTCAAGACCTTCAATCAAGATTGTTTTCAAGATGTGTTTAGAGGAAATATTTGCATTCCAAGGTCATAGGAGATAACCTTAGTGACCTAATCATCTAAGCAAATAACGTTCAGCTAGACAGCTTTCCTTAAGTTTTTTTGAAAAATAAGGCAAAGTTAGACAAAAAATGACTTTATTTGTATCTGCTCACTTGCAAATGCTCTTGATGTGACAGTTTTAAATTGAGTTTTATTTTTAGAAAAAACGGCAAACGAACATATCAGCAAACATAAAGTAGGTTTAAAGAATGTAAAAATCTACTCTTATCTTGTCCTGAAAAATTAATAAACATTGAAAGTTTTTATCGAAAACTATTCATAGCTTAATAACAACCAAACTCCGGCTTCAAAACACATAAATATGAAGTACTTGGATCAACACAGCTAACTTTATTTTAAAAAGTCAGTCGCAAAAATAGTTGACGGATAAGAAACTCGTTTTTTATTCAAAAACAATACGTAGCAAAGTGCACAAATAGAGGTTTTATTAACGATAGCAGCTCTATCAGTTGACAATTTTCCTCATTTTGATTGAGATAATGGATTTTTTTAAACAAAACAAAAGTTTATGTTAGTCATAGAATTAAGGAAAATAGCCGGTTATTCTGCTCAATGATGGAAATAATTAAAAAAAAAACAGGAAAATTAACTATTTTTCTCAAAAAAATTTTTTATATTTTTTTCGGCAAAAAAAAACAAAAAAATTGAATTATATAGAAAAAGTAGAAAAATGATATTCAAATTTTGCTTAAAACAGATAAAATTTGATGTAAATTCAAATTGGAATCATTAAATGGCTATTTTTCACTTTACCCAACATTTAAAAATCAGTTTCGATAAAATTTTAAAGTTTTGTCGTAATGCAACAAAACTTGCCCTGGAGAACAAAGTAACTGTGAAGATAATTGTTCTCCCTACTTTAAATCGAAGCTTCACGCGCTTAATCATATTTACACGTAAATTAACTTTTAAAAATAGAAAGTTCGAAAAGTAGAGTGAACGTGGAAAAGAGCCCGTAATCTTTGTGTTTGTTGGGGCAATATTTGTAAGTTTGCTTTAAAAATAAAGCATTTTGGACCAATGTTTTTTTAAAAAAAACTGAGGAACGTTTTTAAAAAAATTTTTGGGAATTCAAATCTTGACCAAATTTTAAATGAAACCACAGATGACCACCTACAAGCTGTTTTTGAGATAGTCGAAACCTTTTGGACAAAACCTACAGCATTGCTTTTTCCAATTTCCTGATTTGGTCCTTTAAAAGGCTCGGTGTGTTTCTACAAAGAGCCTTCAGGAATATTTATGCCATTTTTTTTAAATCGAAAGCTATCAATTGTTTGAAAAACATCTGACATCATCTTGAGCAAAATTTGGCTTTTTTCAACTATTCTCTGTTCTTCAAATTTTCTAATTTTGTAGTTGTTTTAGTATATAATATGGCTAAACACGTGAATAAATTCACAATTGTTAGTTTGCTCGCCAAATTTCATTGCATTATGACAAATTTCTTTGCATTATGACAAAGCTAAAAATAGTTTTTCAAAAAATTCAAGTATTAATATCCAATGGTATAGTGTTTTTGCTTCTTTACCATTTCACCTCGCCCCACCATGTTTGAAATTCAGTTTGCAAGAAAAGTTTGTCACATAATTCAAAACAGTGGACTAAAAGTTTTACTCCTTTTTACCCCAAAAAAGTTTTGCCCCAAAACAATGGACTAAAAGAATTTTAAAAAACTTCCTAATCCAAGTCAACTTTGTCGGCTAGTTCTCTGTCGGTTTAATTTCAACTAACTAGCATTATTGTTTATATTCCCTGTCCGGACGATTGCCAGAATTCATTTTAACCCAGTTGTGAAAAGTGGGCATATAAAATAAAAAAAAGCTTATACTAAATAGCGGGCGTCTAATTGGCCAATAGCCCAAATTATTTCGACCAATCAGAAGGCGGGATTTTGGCAACAGTCTGAATGAAACAAAAGTAACTGAAAAACATCATGTCAATAATCCGGACTTCACTTTTTGGATTATTAATTATTAACTACTGGCGCAATTCAATTCACTACCCCCAAAAAAAATTTTCAAAGTTTTTCAAAAAATTTCTAATCAATTGTTATTCAAGTTTTAAAGAGAGAAATTCCGATCTTAACTCTCAAAATTGCTTATTAGAGCATTCAATTTCACGAACTTATTTAAACCGCTGTTTATTCAATTTACCTGACTTTTCCAGGAATCCCGCATCTCAGTTTTCTAGAAAAATAAGCGGTAAATATTTTGAACTGGTTATATTACTTTTTGAGCGAAAACAAAACTCAAAGAACCGAAATAATTTGGTTTCGCGGAAACTTCAATTTATTAAGTTCACAGTTAATTTGGGAAATACTGGCTTCGTTAAGTGATTTCAATTAATTGAGCAAAATCAACTAAAAAGCAATTCTTTTCACAATTGATAATTGATCAGTGGACAAAACGTATGAGCGGGCTTACGCTTATTTGATTGAAGCACAAAAACAGATCAAAGAAAGAATCAGAAAAATGGATCCAAAATTTCCAGTCTTCAATCCTACTTTATACATGTGGCAGCCCTACTTAAGCGCTCTCAACACTGCGCTGCTTTCGCAACAAATGGGAACAAACAACCCCGTGGGTCAACCGCAACATCCACCCGGGAGTCACCCACAGCATACGATCTCAACACCTCCGACATCCGCATCCGGGTTCCAATTCCCCCCGCCTGGTCTACCCCCATTGACACCGACACCTTCGGGTCTCGGCAATCAAGCTGCAGCCGCCGCTGCTGTAGCGATGGCACGCCGTTTCCAGCCAATTTCGGGGCCCCCTCACTTCCCGCTGGACATGGGAGGACTGAAGCAAGCGTCGGATTCGTTGCTGTCTACAGTTCCACACCGACCAGGGTTTCCTCCTGAAGTTTCTGATTTGTTCCCAAAAATGTCACCTCAACAACTCGCGATGCACCTCAGTGGGCGACCAACAGGACAACCAATTTTGCCACTCCCAACCTCAAGTGAGGCACAACGAGACCCACATCCAGCGCCCTCTGCTGGGAACCCGAGTCAGCGATCTGGAACCTCGTCTTCACCTTCTTCTCCAAGAACATCGGCAGCAAATGCCGAGTCACTTTCAAAGCACACTCTGCAATCTACCAAGTGGGCTATCAATGTTTGGAACACCTGGGCAAACCAGAAAAATCACAGAATTGAACAGAATAAAAGTTCAAGATCGGCTAAAGTGCCAACTATTCCAGAGTTGAGTAAAGTCAAAGGCGAAGACTTGGACATTTATCTCTCCGAGTTCATAATTGAAGTTCGAAGATTTGACGGTGAAATGTATCCTCCAGATTCCTTGATGGTTCTTTGCGCCGGTGTTCAAAGGTTCCTTCGCGAGGATGGAAACCGACCTGACCTTTCGTTTCTTGACGGCTACGACAAAGATTACCCAAAGTTCCAGAACGCTCTTGGACAAGTTGTAAAAGACTTACAAGATCGTGGCATTGGAACTGTAAAGCGGAAAGCAGACACGTTCAATCAAGAGATGGAAAAAGAGCTTTGGAACAAAGGTGTCTTGAGTTTCCATTCGCCTAAAGGCTTATCGAGAGCGGTTTATTTCTACATAACCAAAGGGTTCTGGTTAAGATCCAGAGGCGATCACAGGAACCTTGTCGTCGAGGACTTGCAGTTTGGAACTGACACATACGGTCAGTATGTTGAGCTAGCCCAGAGATACTTCCACCCTAAAAAAGAACAAACGGTAGCCAGAAAAAGTCAACCCGTTCGTCACTACAATGTTGACCAAAAAATTTGCAGAGTTTATTCCGTTCTGAATTATTATTGCAAGTTAATTCCACCGCAAGGCCCATTGTACAGGAAACCAATTGAGGAAAGACTTGACGGTAAAACTGCGCTTTTTGGGTCCGCAGCTATTGGTGTGCATGCACTTGAAAGGATACCATCGGAACTTGCGACCGAGGCTGGATTCGAAGGGTATTTCACATCAAGAAGCGTATGGGTATCCGATATTCCTTGTCATTGCAACAAATATGTCATGGTTCTCAAGTCTTCGGCAATGATACCACTGAACTTGGCTCCTCCCAATCACCCTGTTGGACACCCGAGTTCAGTTGTCAGACCTCCCGGATGCCCACCTCCACCGAGTATGTTGCCTTTGAACTTCAACCATGTTCCGGGCTTAAATCCACATCTAGTAAACCCAGTGTCTCTAGCTTCAATGGTGTCTCATTCAATGATGGCGTCCAGATTGAGTCAGTTTTGTCCTCCGATGTCAAGCGCCTCAGTAACCTTGAGCGACATTCACACACCGTTGAAACTTGCGACCTGCTCTACATCAGCTATTACACCTCCGAGCTCCAAACACTCTTCGGCGGAGAAGTCGTCACCAATGAAAATAATCAATTTGGACTCTGCAATTCCTGAATATTCCCGGAAACGCAAATTGTCGCTTCCATCACCCTGTGCGACCGCCGCTAGTTTGTCGGAATTCAGTCCAATGTCGTTGCCGACTTCGCACAAACAGCAACTGAACGAAGACTCTGAATTTAAGAAAGCCGAGCAACTTTTCAACTCGTTTAATACCAGGCCTCTAGATTTGTCCCAACGACTGAGCAGTCCCGAAAGCGACTCGGATGCAGAATCAAGTGACGTTGAAGTCGACTTCAATGACGAGTCGCCTCGGCAGCCAACCAGAAGCGATAACTCAAAACCGTCTCCTCCGAAGTTCCCAAATTTGGAAAAACATGTATCGACAGGAGATCAAGAAATGATGTCGGATATTTTGGCCAAAAATGAAATAATCGGAGTTTCTGTTGAAACAGCGAAAATCGAAGACACAAATAAAAACTATCTAACTCTAAAAATATATTACGAATGATGTATTTGAAGAGAAAACTTTAAGATTTTGTTTAAATTTGTTAAGTTTCCGAACGTCTTATAACTAACATCATCACTTATTTTGCTGTCTAAAGTGCTCGCTTTAATTTTGTGCCGCTTGATTTTCATTACATTCATCTCAGATAATATCCATATATTACTCTTATTTTTGTATCCTCATTAATTCTTAGATTTATAAAATCATCTTCCTGCTGCTAAGCGGCTTTTCGAGTTCTTGGTTGTTGCTCTCGAGTAAAAACACTTGTAGATCATCCTCTTAAGTTTTGTGTAAATTTGTCACCTGAACGGCATTCCACTTAATTAACTATTCCATTCTTAATTTAGCAATACATACATCACGTTTTGATTTTGAAGGTCTCTCAAATAGAGTATACAAGTTTTACGAGTAAAAAGAGTAAAGCGTATGCGGCAAATTCGATAGATCATTCCAAATAAAAATGAGACAAGCAATTTTTTTCGATTTTTTTATGACGATTTTGTTCCGACATTTGAAAAAAGTAGCGGAAGATTTAGGCGTGGGTTTTCTCTATCCGAAGCAATTTTTGGGATCGAAATAACAACGTTCAACACATAAAAACGTTGAACAACAATAAAGGTATGATTCTCTGAGTTCAACTAAAAAACAAGATTTTAGACGGAAATTTTTTTATTCAAAAAAAAATCTTTTTAAATTCTATAAATTTTTAAAATTGCCATTTAGGCCATTTTCCGGACTACTTTATGCGCGCTTTTTTAAAAAATTTTTTCTATGATAATGAAATAATAACCAGACTGCTCGTATCAGGGCGAAGCCCTGAATGTTCCGACTGCCTTTTAATGTTTATGGAGCAGTAATAACCTATAAAAAAAATAATGAAATTTTTTTTTCAAAAATTTGAAATTTTTTTTTTTAAATAATCACCCCACACGCCATTTAAGGTACCAAAGGATAAATTTCGCTCCTTGTAACAAATCAATTATGGCAAATAAGCTAAGCTAAGCTAAGCAACCAATTTGGAATGATTTCTAAGAGGGATTAACTCTCCGCTTACTCGTTAATAGCGCGAAATATATCGCGAGTTAATTGTCCCAAATTGGCCAAAATGGCAATATTTAAACTCCCGTAGCTTTACGAAAAATGATCACAGGTAAAAAATCTTTTCAAATTTAAGCTCAGGACAACAAAACCTTTTGAGTTATATAAAAAAACAATTCCGTCAAAAATGGCTAGTTAAAAAGTAGAAATTTGTCTGAAGATAAAAAACCCACCCCGAGCACAAATATTGCGTTACTTTCGTATCGAAAGTCGGAACAACAAAGGTTATGTATGACTAACTATCCCGCACTCAAAACTGATCTAGTGTGGATTGTGGCAAAATGATCATACGACTTAAGTTGAATAAAAACATATAATTCCGACTTTCAAAGAAAGCGCGGAATATTTATACGTGAGTGGAGTGGAATTGTTTATTAATCAGTCAGTTCTCGACTGCTTAACTGAACATTTTTGACGTTTTTTTATACAATCTGAAAGATATTATTGTTTTGAGTTCAAAATTAAAATAGACAAGATTACTCGAATCATGGCAGAGTTCTGAATTTTCCGACTGCCTTTTAAGATCTCTGGAGCGAAAATAATATGAAAAATTAAAGTTAATAAAATGAAACCAATTTTTTTTTTTGATATTTTTGTAAAAATCATCCCACCACATGTCATATAAAGTACGAAGTAAAAGATTTTGCTCCTAGTAACAAATCAAACATGGCAAATAAGCTTCCTTCAAACAATTCGGAACGATTTATAAGACGGATTAAATCTCGGCTTACGCGTTAATAGCGCAAAATATAGTGCATGTAATTGTCCCAAATTAGCCAAAATGGCAATTTTGATCCCCCATAATTTTACGAAAAATGATCACAGTTGAAATTTAAGCTCAAGATAACAATTTTATAAATTTGAATGTTATAAAAAAATCCGTAAAAGTTAAAAATTCGAAAGTTGTCTGAAGAAAAAAACCCACCCCGGGCACAAATGTTCCGTTACTTTTAATACAAAAATTGGAAGAAAAAAATTTCAATTATGATTGTTTTTCGAAACGTTACGTTACGGGGGTGTGAAATTGAATATTTTGGTCAGCTTGAGATAATTGACGCGTGATACAATGCGTTTTTATAACATGCGTAAGCGGCAAATTAATGCGTTCAAAAGTGAATTGATGCCAGCAAAGTTTTGGTCAAAGTTTTTCAAAATGTTCTCAAGTTTGCCTTTTTTGGTCTGTTTTTTCAAAAACTTGCCTGCGTGCAGTAAATTTGGTCAAAATGGGGTATTTATAGTGATTTGGGAGAGCTTAGAAAATCAACTTGTTCGACCTAAAAAAAAGTTGACAAAACTTTTTTTTTGAAAATCCTTATGATGTTTCAATTTAATTCTAGTTGTGAAATCAGTGCTTTGAGCTCAATGATATGTCTGTAGAACCGTTCATAAAAAATCAAAATAATGATCATCACTGCTTAAGACAACAAATAATTTTTTTTTAAAAAAGACTAATACCATGTGTGTCAACTAAAAATATATTTTGAACTTCACCAATGATTTACTGACCCAGAAAACAAATTCGATCCAGATAAAAATTGAGTGAGTTTCTAAAACAATTGACATTCAACGTAAACGAGTTTTGAAAAAATTCTCAATCATTCGCAGTTATGAAGCTTAATTCAACTCAGATTGGGGCTGATAAAGAGTCCGATAGTTTTGAAAATTGAAGCACAAATCATGAAGGTCTAATATTTCGTCCTCCAGTTTGAGAAATTCGTCCTCCAGTTTTTGGCTTTTAAAACTGTCGCAATTTTGATCGAAAAAAATACAACTTCGGTTTTTTAGGATGGTTCAGTTCAACCTAACAGTTTGTGGAACATTTTCAGCCTAGCATTTAGTGTTTTGACAGAAGAGTCAAACAAGTTGCGTCAAAGAAATTAAGAGCTACGCGGGCAAAATTGGCGCAAAATAGTTTTGCACCTTTACAGGCTTTGGAGCAGGGGCAGACTTGAGGGGGGGGGGGGTTGGGAGGGGCTCCTTCAATGAGGGACTCAACGCCGCGCCAATCAATAATGTTTCCCTTTGGTACAGTTTTGCGCCCCTTTTCTAATCAACAACTAGACACTGATATCGTACATATGTGAATGATTTGTTAGTCCGCTCGAATAACAGTCACAGCTGTTGAATGCCTGCCAAAATCTCAGAAAACTATTTCTGATTATTGAAATGAACGTTTTTGGATGTACATCAAAAAGAAGTTGTGCGAATTTTCATCAAATTTTTTGCTCCAAATTAAAAAAGGACTGAAAAGGCTAGAGGAATTATTTCAATTAGGAAGGTCTTTTCAAATATTTCAAGAAACTTTTTATATTTTACCCAATCAAATTCAGGGATAGTTAAAGGGGCTTTCCAGTTATGAGAGGCGAAAGTTTAGGGATCTGATGAGAAAGAGTTTGGAGGTTTGAAATACTTTTTTGGAAACAACTGGCCGCTGATTTGGACATTGAGTGATTTTGATTGTAAAGTGGGCTGTAAAAATTACCCTTGCAGTCTCTATAGTCGTAAAGGGACTTGGGTGCTAAAAAAACCGACCCTGCGACTTGAATTTATGCCGCTTGTAAATTGAATCCGGCGGTATATTTCATAACAAAACTGATTAGCCCAATAAACAGCGCTTGGCCGGGTATATAGTCCATTTATTTTATACAACACGGGGGTCGGTAGGGTAATTAAGATGAAATTTAGAGTACTTTTGGGGGTAGAAAATACACGGGCATTGATAAGCTGTGCATCGATTAGTTTATGCGCCGATAATTATTATTGCACCCCTATTGCACCATAACTTATACGCTCCTGCTGTGTCTCTACCACACAAAGTGTATTCTCGCTCAGTTTCGGCTATAATTCGCTGGATGATGAGTTATTACTGTTATAACTAGTTAGCGCGAAGCCACACATCAACCGGAACCAGATAAAAAAGAGTATGAAAAGTGATAACGGTTGTTAACTTTGTCACGCACGCAGCGCAAGTTCAAGGGTCAAAGTCAGCGTCAGGATATATGCACAACAAAAACAGTTCGAAATTTAAAAAGTGGGGACCCGTTGAACTAAATGGTACCTGGAAATTAAGAAGGTGGCATGTGCAATAATCTAGCTTGCAATTATTAGCTAATTTTACCGGAAAGGTACTATTTTTCAATTTGATTGTAGTTTCTCAAAGTTATGAAAAAGTTTGATTTCTACAGGAACCATAAACCGAACCATAAACATAGGTTTCTGTGCAAGTAGCACAGCACTTTTTGACCAAAATATTACAAAAATACATATTAAAAAAAATTTTCAGAAACTATTTTTTCAAATTGCGTCATTTTTTGTTGGTGGTGGCTTGAAAAGATCTGAAAGAAAGCTTAGAATTTCGTACTTGCAGCAACCAATTTCGTCAACAAACATATTTAAATAATCAGCGTGCTTTGCAGAAAATTTTTTAAAACATTATTCCCAATAAAGCGTTATAAGAAGTTTCAAAAACTATTTTTACTGGAGTAAAACTAGGTTTTTACGACTTGCTTTGGTAAAAAAAGGCTACTATTGTGAGCATACTATGAGCCTGTTTGCTCGTTTTATTCTCTCGGACTAAGACTAGAGATTTTCAAACCGGTTTCTCTCGACACGGAGAATATTTTTTAAAAATATCTCAAGCCTTTGAATCACAAATGAAAGATTTGGACGCATTTTGAAGATTCCTTGTGGTAAAAAAATTAAACCAAACCTGAAGACATAGTTTCTCCCGATTTTCAATCGCCGGAACTCAAAGTAATATATTCATGATTATTGCCAATTAAGCACAACTAAATTAACAAACCACAACTAACAAAATATAAGTTTTTACCATTCACTAATTAATAAAAGGCCGAAAACAGAATCAACTCAGTTTTTGTTCCGACTTTCGATACAAAAGTAACGGAATGTTTGTGCTCGGGGTGGGTTTTTTTTTCTTCAGACAAATTTCGACTTTTTAACTAGCCATTTTTGACGGAATTTTTTTATATCATTCAAAAGCTATTGTTGTTCTGAGCTTAAATTTGAAAAGATATTTCACTTGTGATCATTTTTCGTAAAATTATGGGGGTTTAAAGATTGCAATTTTGGCCATTTTGACCAATTAGCGTAAGCGGAGATTTAATCCGTCTTAGAAAGCGTTCTAAGTTGGTTGAACGAAGCTTATTTGCCATAATTGATTTGTTACTAGGAACGAAATCTATCCCTTTGTACTGTATATGGCGTGTGGAGGGATGATTTTCATTAAAAAAATTCAAATTTTAGAAAAAAAAATTTCATTTTTTTTAATTTCATTTAATTTTTTTATGTTAAAACTGCTCCATAAATTTTAAAAGGCAGTCGGAACATTCAGGGCTTCGCCCTGATACGAGCAGTCTTGTTTTATTCTGGAATCAAGCCAAGATTCTAAAACCAAATTTGAGATGTTTCATTTCGAGTAATGTAAACAGCTCTAAGACTCAGCATTTAAACTAAAGGTACATAACATGCATCTATGAGTTTTTTTGTGTGTAATACTCTGTTGATAGCCCTTTTATTGTAGTATTCGTTACCAGGGAAGATTTTTGATGTTCTTTTTGCTCTCTTAACAAAAATTTTTGAAAGTGAATTAAAAACCAGCTTATTTTTTGTTGAAGGATTTTTTTTTCATTTTCTAACCCAGTTGATGAGCAGTTCTCACAAGATACAAACGTTTGAAAAGGGTTTTTCACCGGAGTTAAGCCATTACTTTTTCTATAAAAAACTAGTGATTAATTTATGGGCTCTAAAAACGCTGTGCAAACCATAAGGTATTGCTTGTTTATCATGCCCAAAAACATTAAAAGCTTTATATCTGAAAAACTCCTCAAACTGTTATTCAAAAATTTGATATGGAATTTTATTAATTTATGCTTGATCTATTCACACCAAAATATCAGTGAGCTCAACTTTAAAAAAAACTCAGATAGTCTTCAAAGCAACAAAACTTGCTGAAAAAGAGTTTACTCTTGTTCTTCCTTTATATATTTCTGATTTTTGTTTTTATTGAGCTAGATTGCGCGTCAGAAAAAGTCATTTAATACATCAAAAAAAGATTGCGCGTCAGAAAAGTCATTTAATACATCAAAAAAATTTAAAAGAAGTCCAAAAAACGGCAATTTTGGAAAAATTTCAAAAACTCACGATTGGCATTTAAATACTTTTGTCAAACTTTGATTTGTGATTTGTTTTGATAGAACATTTGATAAGAATTTTTTGGCTGGATCAATTTCTGGCTGGAAATTGGGTGAAAAATTTTAAACAGCAAACAGTCAACATTACTTATGCTAAAATGATGTTTCGGTCGTTTAAATTAGTCGGAACGCAAAAATATTAGTTCATGCATAACTCTTTTGGTACTTTCTTCATTGTTTTGAACGAAAACAGTCTGCTTGACCAATGTGCTCGTCTTTGTTCCTTTGTTTTTCTAGAATATTCAAGCAGAAACTATACAAACACGGCGTCAACATTACAAATTATGTGCACAACGCTTTTTTTTACTGCATTGCTCCAAAAACTTTTTCGAACAATTCACCTTATCTGAATTTTTTAATAACTCAAACTTAGTTATGCTCCCAGGACCCATTATTATTTCCGAGTTTCATTTTTGAAACAATTGAGTAACTTTTTTGACGCCATATAAAATGGGAAAAAGGGGTTACAGGTAGAAGCACAGAATATTTGAAAGTATGAATGTTTACTCCAGAGAATTTTCTTTTTTTTCTATTGACAGTTTTTGATTTTTTATTATAAAAATTCAAATTTATTAATGTCTTGAACTCAAAACAGAGAAATTTTTTGCTTGTGCCCCTTTGTCATTTTTGAAATGATAAACGCAAACTATATATGTTCATAATCCAGCGTGAGCGGCAAGTTTAACCATTCTTAATTGAATAATTTTTCGTCAAAAATTACACTTGTGAAAAATGAATTAAGATAAAAAAGGATAGCCGGTTGCTGCGCAAGCAACTCGTAGTGTTCCAACTACATTCATAAAAAATACTAATCGTTTTTGTGCGTGCGTAAAAGGAGAACTATACGAAAACGCAAAAAACGCTATTGAATTGGGCGTAACAAACAACGTTTGTCTTGAAACATGAAAAAAAAATAGAAAAAAACATAAAAAACAAGCTTTCAAAAATTTCTCTTTTGCAGACTTTTTTCCAATTTTTAAAAAATTTTTGCTAAGGAAGAGCTAATTGAAGTAACCACAACTTTTTTGTATACCTATTCTTACTAGCTCATTTTACTCGCTCGAAATTAAACAAAACCTCATATCAAACCGGAAACCGGGTTTTCAAACCAGGTTTTTTGACACTGGGACAATTTTTGAAGTTTTTTTTCCAGTCATTTGAGTCATGTCTCACTAGATTCTTTTCCACAATTGTTTTGTGGTACCTGATTCTGCGCGGAAAACAAAAAAAAATCTTAAACATATTCGAAGACAAAAGCTCCTCCATTTCATTGGACCCGAGTAGTTTTTTTTTCAAAAAATAACGTTCGAAAACAGAGTCAAACTTGAGCAAAAAAACTTGAAACCAGCATCATTCAAGTTTCAAAAAAAGCAGACAGTTCTGGAAAAAAACGGTTTCTATAACGGGAGTAGAAGGAAAATTTAACAAATTGAGTGAGAAAATGGGAGCCATCAGTTTGGGCTTATCTGCCGAAAACAAAATAATCAACAGGATGTCAAAAAGGCAAATGAGTCTGGGCTACAATTTGCCACTTTTAGAAACTTTTTAAGACTACATTTTTTATCGATCATTAGTCATGAGAAACTAAGCATCCCTTAATACTAAACCTGAATAAAAAATTAATTTAACAGGATAATTTGTGACCACATTTTGAACCAAGAAAGTTAATTGATTCACTGGCATGAAACGGCAAATACAAGTTATATGTTAAATACAAGGGCAACTAAAATGGGAAATTTATTTCAGAGAATGAACAGCCCATTTTTCAATTAAACATCCCTGCCAAAATAAGAAACCTCAATTTTTTTTGGGCTTTTGAGTGTGTCCTTTTCTGAATGAGGCCTAAAATATTTTCGTCATTCAGAATTCAAACCCGGTTATCTGGGCAAAAAAAGAAACCTAAGTCCGACCAAAAAGTGTAACTTGAGTAGAAATTGGTATTTTTCAAAAAAACTAACATCCTGTATTTTTCTGAAAATGTAACTTTTTTGAAAAGAAAACAAGAGAAATGAACCAAAATCTTGCCAATTCAGGAATAAGTTTTTACTTATCCAAGATTTTAAAAAAAAAACAATTTTGGGCTTATTCGGCTAGCATATTTGTTTCTTGTCAGAAGGGGTGACGTGGTTTTTTATAAGCAACACAATTATAAAGTCCCCCAGAGTAGCAGCCTAAATATTAGCATATAGAACTGCCTTTTTACGTGTATCATATTTGAATGTACGTTCAAATGCACTCTCTTCGTCTTCCCTTTTGCCTTTATACCATCAATCCCACATGGGACGACGGCGGAATATTATTCCATCACGTATCGAAGAGAAATGAAGGTAGGAAAAGAGAGCAGACGCCAAGGAGCTCATTGGGCAGATAGATCGAAAAGTAGAAATTTCAATTTCAACCCATTTTATGGCACACTCCATAGTGAACAAACGCTATCTTTTAGGAAAACTGCATAATAAAAACATTTTTTCCTAATTTTTGCAAAGAAAAAAACGCATAGAAATGTAAAAAATTATTTTTTCAGTTTTTTTTGAAAGTTCGTTTTTCCTTTTAGTGAAAAGAAATAAAAGATTTGAAATCATAACTTCAAAATTAAAAATTTATAAGATGATAATGTCAGTTTTTGATTTTTTTTCTGCTCTATTTAATTCTTCTTCTGTTTGAGTTGTTACCTTCCCTTATACATACCATTTACCTGTTCAAGTCTTAATACACGTGGCTTTGGTTATATTTTGTTGCCAGCAATGCAATTCTGTGTAAAATTATTCTTCATACACCATTCCCATATTACATAGGAAACCCTTGCAGCTTATCACATGTATTAGATTAGGAAATAGTTCTTCACTTTTATACATTTTAGTATTGTATTTATCAATCCACAATCAGCGAAAGCAGAAAAACTCAGCCAATATGTTAACATTTTATACAAAATAGGGTCACATACACAAAACAAAAACTTTTTTTGCCTTAATTGCGGTCCAGAATATTGCTACACGTGTTTTGACTGTATCAAAAACCATTCATGTAAAATTCCGGCTACGTTTTCAGGAATTTTTAAACGTTACTAGGAATGCATTTTACATATAATTAACCATGTTACCAAAAACTTTGAAATGCTTTCTGCAGTTTTAAACCATTTCATAACGAGCCCTTTTGAGCAACTCTCGTCCTTAGCCAACCCATAATGACCACTTATCGCGGTCGTGACTAAGACGTTTTTAACAGCAGACTAACGAGGGTTGTCTCGAGATTGTCAGAGTCGATCTATATGGTAAGTAAACTTTATCAATTTGCTTTTTACTTGAGGTTGGAAAAATCTGAAATTGTACATCAAAAAACCGCACTGATCTCATTATAAACGCAAATCTCAGATACAAACTTATAGTTGATAGTTATTCTAATTGATCATATAGCCCTTCTATAGCCACTAAAGGCAGATGACTACACAAAAAGCAACTCTAGATTTAGCTGGGGTGAAAGAAAGATGCCCGGGCTGAGGCGCTCGACTCATGATTCGACCAAAACGGTCAAACGATGTCCGTCGTGTGTCGAACGATGTCCGTTTTCGACTTTGCTCGACTTTGCCGGACATTGTTTAATTTTGTTCGACTTAGATCGACTTTTTCAACTATGACACACATTGTTTGACTTTGCTCGACTTTGTTCGACTTTTGTCGGACATTGTTAGATTTTGTTCGAATTACTCCCACTTTACATGACTTTGGTCGGCTTTGTTTGACAATGTATGCGTTTGACTTAATTTTGAAGGGTTTAGGCCGTGCTTTAATCTTCAGACCGTTGAATAACAAAAACTCAATATAAATATGAATCCACCCATGATTCGAATAATTCGACTCCTGATTCTGACCTGTTCGATCCTTGATTCTACAGCGTTTGACCTACGGTTTCACCCTCTTCAACCCATGATTCGACTCTGTTTGACCCATGTTTCGACCTTGTTTGACTCTCTCGACCCTTTTGGACTCATGATTTGACCCTGTTTGACCCATGATTTGACTTTGCTGACTAATGTCTTTCATCTTGCAACCATTTCCGTCCAATTATGAGTCGAGCACCTCATCTCGGGCATCCTCATCTTATTAAGAAGCCATGAAAACATGGATTGCTTAAGTTTCGATTAAAAATCAGTACAATTGATCAATTTGATAAAACGTTCATAACATTTTTCAACCTACTCTTAACACTTCAATTAAGACTTATTTCGATCGTGATATATGGACACTTCCATTTGACCGTTTTTAGCAACAACAAACATATTTTAACCGTTTTGGTTCACAATTTTTATGCAAAATGTTGCAAAACAAAAGTCAACACGCATCCAGTTTCATCCAGTTTTAAGATCAAATTATAATTAATTTTATAATCCATTATAATCGTTTATAATCGATTAATAATTTGTCCATTTTTCGATAAAATTATAACCAATTATATTTGATTATAATCCATTAACTTTATTCAAATTTTTACTTCATTAGCTTTGCACAAAAACCAATTATAATCGATTATAAATGATTATCATCCCTTTTGGTTATCCATTTTTGTCATCAAAGTTGCATCTAAATTGCTTATATTTTATGCTTTTTGTAGACGTTGGTTCCTATGAAAAATGAGAAAAATGTTTTTAAAGTTTTCCAATCAATTCAAAATTTTAAGATTTTTTTTTCCTTTCTTCCCCATTAGAGTTGTTTTGTGATGCATTTTTTAGCTTTTTAACCACCAAAACATCGGCTAATTGATTTAATTTCATGATTGATTCGGAAGATTTATTTTTCATCTACCGCGGGAATCTTTCCACTATTATGAAAACATCCCTATGAAACTTTTGTTTCGAGGTAAAATGTTGTGTTCAGATGAACCAAAGTGTTCAAGAGATCTCTCTTTTAGAGATTTTCGTATTGACACAAAAAAACCCATTAGATATAATTCAAATATAGTTTTGAATTGACATAATTTTGGCAAAATATTGAAATTATAATCGATTATAATTGATTCTAAGGGTTTTTTGTACGAACTATAATCAATTATAATCGATTATAATAGATTATAATCTTTTGGAAACTATCACGATTATAATCAATTATAAATCCTTGAAAAACATAATGTCAAAAAATCATCATAATAATCCGTTATAATCGATTACTTAGGCCTAAACTTGGATGCGGGAACTTTTTGGAACTGGCCAAAGTATCACAGCCAAGGGCGGATTTAGGGGGGCAGACACCCCCTCCCTCAGGGATTTGACCCCATGCCGACCCAAAGGGTCCCCCTTTGTAATATTTTGAGATATCCATTTTTGGCTGACTGACCCTAAAATGTAATTTTCAGGGGGGAGCGCGCGCCGAAAAAACGCGCTTTCTTGCTCAAAATTTTCCAAAAATTGTCTACAAACGCCCTTTTTGGCCTGTTTTTTTCAAAATTTTGCATGCAGCGCAGAAATTTTGGCAAAAACAGGGTCTTTGTAGTGCTTTAGGAGAGCTCAGAAAATCAATTTGGTCGACCTAAAAAACAAGTCGACAAAAAATTCGATTTTTTATTGAAAATCCGCCCCCCCCTAGAGAAAATCCTAGATCCGCCCCTGATCACAGCTAAGGGTGCAGAGTAAGGTTGATCATAGAGAATTATGAAATCGTATGTAACGTGGCTATCATAATCACAAAATTTTGGTTGACCAGAACTGAATCCCAAAAGTTTGTCAAAGCTGTGAAAGATTTCATCAAAAATTGCACACCATCGATTTGAGTAGCAACAGCAACTCGTTTTAATCAAAAAGTAAATGTACAAAAAGACGCTTGCCCTTAGCTACTTAAGAACATCAGCAGGAAATACATCCTAAAAAACTTTATTTAAAAAAGGTGTCCTTAAAGAAAAGAATATAAACAAAATGAGTATGTACAATGAAATCAGTTATATTCATTTCTTACCTGCTTCACCCAGCAATTGTTTTGCCATCGGGAGCTAGTTTGGAGCCAGGGATCGCCCAGCCCTTCAAATACCTTTTCAATAATTCAAAAAAATTTATCAATTTAGGATACAGGGACTATTCTGCTCTGGTTTTTGGAATGAAACAATTGATTTCATATATTTTTTGGACATTTCAAGAAATAATTAATTCAAATGGTTATTTAGAGTCTCCAAGTTTGCCAGTTTTATAACAATTTGAAGTTTCTTGGACTTTTCTAGGCATTAGGATTTTAAGTAGGCAACCGGAATTAACTATTCATTTTTTTATTCAATTTGTTTTAGTATGAATTTGGACTTGTCTCTGAACGATAAGTTTTTTGGCTTCATCGAGCGCTTTTTGAATTCATGTTTGATCTTTTTTCTCGAAGTACTAGCTATCATTTGGTGTCAGGACAAATGATACCGTACCAAAAATTCCCATGACAAAAGATACCTACCAAAAGATCCCTTGTACTAAAATTGCCCATACCATAAGATCTTATGCCAATTAAAAAGATCCCATGAATTATGATTAAAATTAATGATCAAAATGTAATCAGAAACAAATCTTGAGAAAGGATCTCGAAATTTGGTTCGCGCTATTAATGAACAACGCAAACCTAAGACAAACAATTTCAAACAGGAATCATTTTTCGGATTCACTTACTGCCAGAATGTCTTTAATTTGTTGCTAATATGGCCTTGAATTAAAAGAGTTCATGTGAAAAAATTATACACTGTGCATCCGTTATATCAATCGTTAACTCACTGAATTTTCAAAAATGAAATCTTTTAATTGGGGAACCTCACAAAAAATCCAAACCCTTATTATTTTTGACGCTCATGAGTTTCAAAAGCAAAACGATACAAAGAAAACAACACACTGGTGCTTGAGCAAATGGAGTAATATAAGTTTTCGAAAACATTGCCCACTTGTGGGAACGATATAATCACAAACAGCAACGATCACAGTCACAAACTCAACGCAGGACGGTCAAAAGCTCAATAACTAGTTCAGAAAATGAAGGAGGCAGTTAGGAATTGAATAAGTCGAGTAAATAGCCAGATAATTGCAGACAATATGCAATTGGTACAGGACGACAAGGCAACCTAACTGTCTTTGCCCTCTCGGTTGGTGATAGTGCGAACTCTTGACTGAAGTAAATAAACGAAATCCCTGCCCACTATAGATGACCGTCATTTCCAAATAACGGATCGTTTGAAAGCAATTTGTTTTTTTTTTCGATAGCGAAAAACCAGATGAATAACGCATGTTGATGTTTGACGATATCGAGAAACTCCTTGCACTTAAATTGTAAACAAAAAACCTGGCTTGTAGACGGTACTATCAAAATTTGTCCCAATCAATTCTTCCATATTTACACTGTTCACAACCAGATTGTCCCAGTCAATTCTACCAGCTTTACACTACACATCCAGATTGACGGGTCTTCTCCATCTTGCGTCTACAGATTCCTAACTTAAATCGCTTATCGGCGAAGTAACCCGGAAAGGCTTCTGATTGACTCTTAAATTGCCTGGTTGAATGCTTTTGCGTCTCATTACAAAACTGACAAAAGCGGATCACCTCTGTCAGATCTATATGCGGAAAATATCCAGGTTGGCACTTGAAAAACTTACGAATCAAACAGCGACATAGTCTTTGCGCTGAATATGATTCCTGCTCCTTTTTATGTGCCGGAGTCAAAAGTAGAGTTCTCAGTCGACCTACAAATTGAGGAAGTATGCAGTGTGGCAAACAAACTGGATAGTTCACGAAACGATCTCGAAAAATTAGACAAGCTCACTGCTAATTTCCAAAAAATTTACATTAAAGGGGATTTGATTGACCAAACATATTCTTTCCTATTTCTTTACGGAACCATTATCAAAATGCTGTGGGTGGCGATTACCCTTATTTACGAGACGTTAGGTTGAAGGTAAGGGCTAGTCGGCCCTTTGATTATTGCATCTAGTAAAAAAAAATTGATCAAAACTGAGAATTGATTTTTGTTATCAAGTAGAAGGGCAACTGATTCGCAATGAAAGATATTTCATAGCCACAGTTTTTCAAAACCTAGTTTCAATTTTGTTCTAACGTGAAATGTCTGGGAACAATGTCTTGATATGTCTGTTTGGCAAAAATGGTTTTGTTGAACTGAAAACTTTTTCCAAGTTCATTTGTAATCTAGTCTGTTTTTTGAGGTCTGAGTTTCAATTTGACGGCCAAGTGATTAGCAAGGTCATTCATGCTCAAAACTTGCTCACCAAACGTTTTGTCGTTTTTTTGAATTTAACCGACGCTTTTTT